TAATGAAATACATTATTATAAGACCAATTGATTTAGATTTAAAATCCTATGTCGCACATGTGATCCAGAGGGCAGCGAAGAAAATTAGCTGTTCGGTCCTGGAAAGCTTTTAATTTCACTCCACGTCATTCCAGCTTCCCTCGCCGCTGCAACGATGCTTCATTGGCAGAACTGTTGTGTGTTACCACATTTCCACTTTTGGCGTTTTATAGACATGTCTGGGTGTGCAATTATTTAACATATATTAATAATTAATATACAACGCAAGCTGAACGATTGGTTTTTTTTAATTCCGTTTTAAAACGCTCCAAAAATGCATATATTTAAAAATTTACAATTTTTATCGAAAGTTGTACTATTTATCTATGTATGCTATGCACAAGGCAATTCTATATATGTAACCGCGGTATATATTAAATGTAATATATATCTCCAGAGTCAGGATTACGTAAGTCCAATTTGAGCCCAAAACCCATGTAGCACCAATGGATTCATGCTTCCTTCAAAACAGTTTAAATGCATATAATCACCTCATTAACAAGCCGACTGACACGGTATCAATTACGTCATAAGGTTTCATGGGTCGATTACATCCTAATATTTATATGTTAGTATGTAGTCATAAGCTGTTTGCAATTTTTGAATAAGGGAGATTTAAGTATGTAACGCAATTTTCGGAGATGTTAGATTTGTTAATAAATTAAAAACATTACAATATTAATTAAACTACTTACTATATAAATGATGTTTGTTAATGCTGTGATATAAAAAGAAGTAGATCAAAACCCCCTCCAGCCCCAGTAACGCATAATAACGTTTTAAAATCCCCCAAATTCGTAAACTAGTATTCGACCGTGCATGACCTACGCTAGCGTAACCACGACCTGGAGCTCGCTACCTTAGCCCAATGGAATTACCTAATAATTAATTACCTATTAATTAATTTACCTGCCTCTGAATCAATGTTTCCTTGTATCTCACACTTGTATGGTGAAGAAGAACATCGGGAGGATGGCATGTCTTTTACAGTCAACACTAAGCGCTAAGAATAACTGGTGTGTGTGAGTATTAACATTTTGGCATTTGTGAGTGCGCTAACTCTCGTCTCTTTTAAATCAAAAGCAAAGACTTTGAAGATAAAACTCATCTGACATCGTGACAATTATTTTGTTTTTCATGAACTAAATATATTAAAATATTCAAATTGGCAGTCCAGTCCGTCTCTGTCTTCCCCTCCCGCACCTCATTTCGTGTTATTGAGAATTTATGTCCCTAAAGCTGTGTTCACAATGCTATTGTTATTTTTTTATTGTATAATTTTATTTGTTACTGATTTTTACGTGAACCCCTCCCGGCTTTGACTAGACCTTTAGTTTTTATATATTTTGGAAATAAATACATATATATATGTAGTGTATATGACGTAGTGTTAGCAAGCTGCACTAGATAACTAAATATATGATGAATAAGATGAATAAGACAGAGCAAAATTTGCTGCAAAAAGACAGATTTTTTTTTCTCCCAAACCGAGTAGTGGCCGTATAGGCTTCAGGAAAGTGTGGTATTTTCCGCGAAAATAGTGGTAATAAATTACGTTCTAGACATTCAAAATTACCGTCGTAATGTGCCGTTACTGTATCGTCCGTAATTGTTTATACAGTGAAACACGACTTTGCTCTTCAGTCTAATTAGATGAATTACTGTAATGTAATTATATACATATTTTAACTGTTAACACTATATAGATAACAACGTATATTATAGTGTAACAATGTACTTAGTATCCTAGTAATAATAGCATTATCTTCTTTTATTTTTCCTGACAAAATAGATTTTCCTTTCCCCGGGGCAAGCGAAATAATTGTATAGAATTTATTTACGATAAATGTATCTTTAACACTGTAGGCAATATATAATATATATGTCCCAAACTTGACCCCTAATAGTATTGACTTTGTATTTTTAATGTGCACGCGCCTTTACGTCAGGGGCGATGCACTCGCTAGACCCGAAGCGCTATCATTTGTATGTGTGTGTCACGACAAATACAGGCTGTTCTGATTTGGTGATAATTTAGACTTCATTACATTAATATTATTTAAGTAGGCCGCGGCCTTATCTCTTCCAGGCGACCCTAGTAATGTAAAAAAAAACGTGTGGCACTTGGGGACTGCCGCGGTAAAGCTATTGCATAATTTTTTTTTCTTTCATATTCATTCAAGTTTTTTCTTTGATAAATTAATTCAATCTACCACTCTACCCGGCTCAGACTAACTCGCCTATATAGTCTGTCTCACTCTAACGCGCACCGGCTGCACCGATCTCGTCAGAGAGATGTGAATACGCAGTATGCGTTCTGTCCCGCTCTAACGGGTAAGGTTTTTTTCGTTACGGAATTTCTGGATTCGGTCTCCACGCTCGAGGCCCGCGATAGAAGCTTAAAAAGTATAGTACATAAATTAACGAAAGTAACCCCAGGGGAATCACCCTCTGGGGCTCCACCATCGTGGTGGACATACAGACTGCCGTTCTTTTCTTGCAGGATCCTAAGTCAAACTTAGACATACTTCAGTGGGCAGCTGGTTCTATAGTCTGCACTCTGAAGCTGTGTTAACATTTTCGTGCCTATTAATTACAATTATATTCTTTACCTATATAGTAATAATTTAAAAAAAAAAAAAAAAAGTTTGGTCCCTGTGGCAGTGAACCTTTAACGCTGGCAGCATTTCCTCGCTGTATTGCGATACTTATTTGTTAAAGAAAGCACCAGCTCTGGGGTCACCGGTACTATCTACCAGGCGCCAACTTCAATAATTTTTATATCTCTGTGGACTTGAACATGGCCCAGTAATCTCTACTCTGTCTATCTACTACTACAAAGGGAGCAAAAAGTTAAAGAAAAGACTTGTATTTGAGTCGTTTATTATTTTCCGCGTATATGTAATACTACAATTATAACTTGTATATATATTTGTCGTGTTTATTGATAAATATATAGTGTATTAAAATGACCTTGGAACGTGTGAAAACACCTTGTATATACGAAGAAAACGCACACTAATGCAAACTATTTGGGGTGACGCACACATATTTACGCTTACAATTACAAATTTAATTAATTTGTCCAATAAGTAAGAAGAAAATTATCCGATGGCGGGATCTTGGAGTCGGATTTCTGCATTTTATATAGTAGGCAAGTAGATTTGTGAGGGTTTCATATATGTTGAATGTGATATATTTCTGACATGCAGCAGTCTGGACTTAGCTTTCTGAATCATCTTACCCTAGAAGGGATGGTGATCCATCCCTGCAAGCACTGGACCCGATCTGCCCTAGGTATTCCTAAACATTAAGGGGTATGAAAGATAGATATAAGCCGATTCTTAGACTTATTGAATATGCATTAAAAAATTCATAAGCCGGTCAAGCCGTTTCGGAGGAGTATGGGAACGAACATTGTGACACGAGAATTTTATTTATTGGGACACTTCAATACAAAAAAGTTGAATAAAAATTAACTTTATTAGAACCGTTTATTCTGTCATAGTTTGAAGGCGAAACAGTCAAAACTTTAGTCGCGAGGTTGTGGTACGAATTTTCATACAAATTGCATGAACGAAATCTGATTACCGCTGAGGTAACGTAAACTGGCTTTATTTGAACATGGTATTAATAAGCGATGCATCAGTTGTAGGTTGTCAATAGGCTCGCAATAGGAGCTCGCAAGCCCGAGCTTGGTAAATCGTATGTCAAAAACGTTTTCGATTAATCTACACTAATATTTTAAAGAGGAAAGATTTGATGGTTTTCATTAAATGGACTCCAGGAGAGGATATAAAACATTCTTTTCAAAACACTACGTTCCTACGTTCAAGTATTACGTAAGCAGAATTACTGCAATTTATCCCCCCCCCTCCTCTTGTCAGCAAAAGTAAGCAAAGCTCTCAAAAATAATAGTTCATAAACGTATTCTTTTTTTGTAGGAATCCTCGAAAATGCAATTCGTTTTCATGTATAGACAATGTGTAGGTAATTTGTGTTAAAAGTAAATAATTACTGTTGACGTAATCACCAAATAAGAAAATCGAAGTTAGTTTAATTTTATAACAACACAATTGAAAGGTACGCAAAACTAATTATGGACTCGACAAATCACTATAAATTTCACTACAGAAATATAACTTGAGAATACTCCGCGTTAAAGAGGTGAATACCGCGTTATATGGGGGACGAAAAACGCGTTGTAGTGGTATTATGATTACATTGATAACGCGACTATAAAGTTAATTTTTTTGGTTAATTTAATTATTCACAAAAATTGAGACATTTTTTTTTGGATTTCAGTTTGATGTTTTGATAGTTATGGTAATTTTTGACCATATTCGGGGTTTATTGAGAAAAAGTTTTTATAAACTTGTAAAAGCGTGATTTTAAATTATTTTCCAGTTTTTGTAAGTTATTTTGACTTAATAAAAACATATTAACAATATTCCAATCGGTCTCCTGCGAAACCTTTTTTATGACATATATTTTTTGTTTAAACTGAAATTTTATACTTTTCCAAATGTTAATAGCTGAAGCTACGAAAATTGTTCGTCTTATTCATTTCTCGCTTCCTCTGAAAGTGGCAAAGATAATAATTATCATGATGATGCCAGATAGCATTCAGATAATCCCACTACATTGAACCTCTGGTAGGGCTCCGTCTGTTACCTTAGGTCTCTGGTGCAGACATCCCGTACTTATTTATATATTCACTATTTATGTGTTAGGGTACATCTGAAGGGCGTAGGCATCCGTACTGTTGTCAGGTTCTTACATCTCACCCTCTCATATATTTACTTAGCTAGTACAGCTTGCTAACATACACTACATAACAGACATTCCTGACAGTTATTACATATAAATACACATTTCACATTCCACTGGCTGGCAAGCTGTGCCTTGGTCCTTCGAGCCGGAATTTATTGATCACTAATTTATCGTATCTTGTGGATGTAATGGAGAAGAGTATTTGTGTATCTTGGTCCAAAACTTTAGGGAATATGAATTCACCAGGTAGAGTCAGGACCCAGGGCCTCAGAATATGCACTTTTGTTAAATTATATCTTATATACTATAGTTAATCTATTATACTTAAGACAAACAGTATACATATAAGTATTACTTCACAAAATGCCTGCATAAATTGGAAGACTTATTCCGATTCGAGTTCGAGGTTTTCGATACTAGATTCGAATGTCGTTGTCGTGTAATTTCACGTTGCAAATTTTAAGCGAATTTCTAGGCATTTAGCATACTTTAGCAAATAACTGAGCCACCGAACGTTCTCACATATATTGAGATTTATTAATACAATAATTATTATTAATGTGACATAAATCAATCAGATGTTACGAGATGTACAGTAGGTAAGTAACCAATAAGTAAGTAGGTGACCAGTCTTCTGTGTCTGACACATGACAAATTTTTGTGTCTCCTCAAGATGTTTTGCTTAACCGTACGAGCGAGTGGTCAGTGAACTTAGAAACATCGTTGACACAGACAAATAAGGTTCCTTCAAGAAAAGGGCGTACGAATTCTTAAAAGGCAACGCACTCGTGAGCCCTCTGGCAAAGTATCCATGATAACATAGAAAGGTATAACTTAACATCAGGTGAGCCTCCTCCCGTCCCGCAAGTCCAGCGTTGGAACTGTATATACACAGATTCACAAATATAAAAAAAAACTACGGCGGTATAATATTTTTAGGCCTGGGCCTCATATTTCTGATAATTTGTCTTATAAGGAAGTAGGTGATCAGCTTCCTGTGCCTGGCACAAGCCGTCGACTTTTTGGGTCTAAGGCAATTTCCTCGCGACATTCACCGTTCGAGTGAATGTTAAATGCGCAGATAGAAAATCCATTGACGCACAGCCAGGGATCGAACTGAACGCTGAAGACACTAGGCCAACACTGCTCTCAAAATTAAGACAAATACATGATAATACAAACAAATTTACGTACTAAAGTATCAGAATCCCAACAACATACACTACCAGCGAAATCAAGTTAAACTGTGATAATTCAAATAATAATAATACAAATTTAAAATATATAGACTATATTAAACGGCTCGAATAGTATTTCCTCCAACTTCGATTTTGTTCCCTTTGGAGTAGAGACTCTTGGGCCGTGGGGTTCAAGTGACAGGCGCTTATTAAAGATTTAAATTGTAAACTATAAAAAACATGATCTATATATATATATATATATATATATATATATATATATATATATATATATAGATCATGTTTTATATATATATATATCTCCAGTTATAAAAATCTCGTAATAAAATTATGATAAAAAACAGTACAATAGAGAAATTTAGTTTACCGGAATAACACCGCCGGCTGGTTACTTATTTGAAAGCAATTTTAGTCCCCCTTCATTTAGAATGGGACAGGGCCGTATTTGACGTTTATAATGACAATACGTTCGATTTATGTCATTTGGAGTGTCAAATCTTTAGCTTTAGTCTAAAAAATAGGTGTCTGTACTTGTACACGCGTTAAAAGTTATACTTCTTTAGCGTAACGAGACAAAAATCTTATTAATAATATATTAGCTTAAACTTCAGGGTGTCGGTTTTTTGTGACGGTGTGCGCGTAATATATAAATGTAATTATTATATGTATAATATTTAAAAATAAATACATACTTGATGTACCTATAAATGACATTATTATCTATTTAATATTATATACTGAATTATTAAAATCAATTATTAAACAGATAATAATGTCATTTATAGGTACATCGAGTATTTATTTTTTAATATTAGACATGTTATAATAATTACATTTATATATTACGCGCGAAACTGGCCATAAACTCTCCGTACTCTCCTCTCTCTCTCTCCTTACAGTAGAAAATATCTTTGTTAAGGGGGTTTGCGACTGGTTCTGGGTCTTGGTATCGCAAATAACCTAGGTCGTCGCACATATACCATAGGTACAAAGAAACCTAGTTCTTGGAGAACACTTCTGTTGCTCATTTTTGCTCACGTTTTCTAAAAATTAAAATAATTAAATAAAAAAGAAGAGCAAATGGCAGCCTCATCGCGGGCGATCTCTTCCAGGCCACCACTTTCAGTAAAATTAAATTTGAATAGAACAAAACAAAGCAATAATTAATTAATATGAAAAAGCTAAAGCATCCAAATACTGGGGTCTAGGCTCAGAATATGATTTTGTCCCATTCGGTGTCGAGACCCTTGGTCCGTGGGGTCCTAGCACTTTAAGGCTTTTCAAAGAAATTTCAAAAAGGTTAGTCGACATCACAGGAGACCGAAGATCTGGCAGCTACATCGGACAAAGAATTAGTCTAGCTATTTAAAGGGGGAACGCTGCCAGTATCTTCGGGACCTTGCCTTGTTATTATAAGTTAAGATTAGTTATTTATTTATGAATAATAACCCTATAATTTAATTTAATTCAGTTTGTTAGCATAACACTTTTAATTATATGTTTAAATAACACAAATCAATTAAAACATAAAGACATTGACAATACATGTATATTGTATATTAATTAAAACAGTTTGTATTATGCTTTAAATCAGTTTTAAATGTAATTAATTAATATTTTTTGATATCGTTGTTCTAAGACAAGCGCTCAACGTGACTACTACACAGAACCCCCAGTTTAACGTGTGCGTTACACACAGATTTGGTTTAATACTTGTGACTTTAAATTTTGCGTTTCATGTTGGCAAAGTGTTATTTTCCATTTTGGAGGTTGTTGTATTTCCAAAAATTAACGTAAATGTAGTATCAAATTAATTTAATAATAAAAAGTGATGGTTAAAATTTAATTATAATTTATATTTATTTAGAAAATATTTAAAACAAAACGCCAATTTAAAACAGACTAAACAATAACAATGTGTGTAACTGAAGCGTGTGTTAAAATCGGCTTGTAGTGAAATTAAAATCCTGTTAGTCCTAAGGATATCTTATTTGGGCTTTTCTTAATTATTTTTTTACTATATTTGATATAGCTGGCATTATTTTTTTACTTTTCATTCTCTGACGTAATTTTGGAAATAAACGCCAATGGGCAATTTTCTAATATAAAATTCTCGTGACACAATGTTCGTTCCCATAATCCTCCGAAACGGCCGATTTTTATGATTTTTTTTATCCATATTCAGTAAGTCTGAGAATCGGCTACTATTTATCTGGACACCCCTTAAAATTTAGGGGTTTGAAAGATTTTGTTTTATTTTTTAGAAAAAAAATTAAATTTATTTATTTTATGATACAGCATATAAATATACATTTGTATGTATATTTATAATATATATATATATATTCACCCCTGTACGATCAACCCCCATTTTTTATTATAGTAGATTTTATTTATTTATTTTATTTTATTAAACAAAAAAAATGTTTCCTAGAAATAATATACATGGCAAAACAACGTTTGCCGGGTCAGCTAGTTATAATATAATAGTAAAATGATTTTTTAAAGCAGTTTTTGAGTATTACAAACTTATCCACATATAAACTAAGGAATTTTATCAAACCGTCCCTGTTCGCCCCTTCCCCCCATTCCACCCCAAGCGAATAAATCCACAGGCCCGCACTCGAGTGAGATTTGCTGTTAATTAATTATTTACGAAGATAATTTGTCTTTGAGTTTTAAGTGTCACCTCTTGGTCGCAATAATTACAGGGTTTCAACTGTCTGAATGTTTTTAAAGCCTACATAATTAGCATATTGCTAATGACGAGGGTTCGATTTCCGGGAAACTAGCGAACTGTGGAATCGACTTCCTTTGGGAGTCTTCCCTGAGAGATTTATCCTACTGTTTAAAGTTAAAGTGTACTCCTCCTTCAAAGGCTCTCAACGCTGTGTGCGTGGGTGTCCCTTTATGGGGGTCCCGTAAGCACGTTTTCCCCCTATTATATATAAAAACTAGTGGAGCCCACAGACGTTGTCCTGCATGATATTTAAAGCGATTAGGATATTAAGCAAAGTATGAAAGTACCGACTGCAGTGCCATCTGCCGGGCTGATTTGTGAATCTAAACCATTCCCAGATCCCCTTGAACACACACAAAAAATTTCATCAAAATCGGTCCAGGCGTTTGAGAGAAGTTCAGTCACATACACACGCACACAAGAAATATATATATTAAGATTAGTAAATAAAAGTTGGGAGTATTTATTACATATGCCGGCAGCATCTTTGCATGATATGAATTGGTATAAACTAGGTAATTAAGTAGTAATTAAATTGTAATTAATTAGTAAATCAATCTTATTAAAATGTATTTAATTCATATTCTGATTTTTAATTCCGTAGAATTATGACATTTCATAAGTGTTGCTACTTAAAAAAGTTCTCCACCGAAAAAGGGACAAATTTGACTTATTTGAGCGCAATAAAAAAAATGCTACGTATTTTTTATGTTTTACCTACAAAAAGGTAAATTTAAATATTTACTTACTCAAGTGAATCTAAATATTTACTTAATACAAGAATAACAAATATTTCAATATCACGAACAATATATCGAATTAACTTTAATTACTTTATTTTATTCTTTTGCTGGCATCACTGTCTACTAATTCCAGGTTTAGTAAACCTTTAAAAAAAAGTAATATGTTATCTTTACTTGTGCGTTTTTTACTTAGTAAAATAGATACATTCACTAACAAATAACATGTATGTATAGACTCAGATGTTCAGACTCGTATCGAAATTGAAAAATATGCCCGGCCAAAAAGGTTTGCCATCTCTGACATGTCAAAAAATGGTAGCTGTCAGAATTCTACGGAATTAAAAATCAGAGTATAATTACTAATTAAGATCTTTTGTCTCGTTTTATAAAAAAGTTTATTTCATTTCAGGACGAGGTCCTAGCGATTAATGAAAAGGTGGTGCTTCGTGCTGAGGATCTACTCTCCTGGGTCTGTGATGGAGGAGGCTGGAGGTGGGGCATCCGGGCCGTTTGGAAGGAGGCTTGTGCCCCCCCTGCTGAGACTAAGCTGACATCTCCCCTTCACCTTACAAAACTGGATTTCAGCGATGTGGAGAAAGAGAAAAGTACTATGTGTAAGCTATATATATCTTGGTTAATTGCATCCAATGGAAATTAAATAATCATCAGTGGCGCTACAACCTTTTTAGGTCTGGGACTCAGATTTCCGTATCTGTTTTTATTACATTTATATTTTATTACTTTATTTTTCTTTTTTGCGACTGAGGCGCAAACTAGCTGCTGTGGTCTCTGGCAGGATGACCAGCGGTGTGGAACAGTCTGCTTCACAGCATAATGCTGAGCCAGGACCAATTACAACCACAGCACACACGCATTACACACTTAAAAAGGAAAAGGAAAAAATTTTTTTTTTCTTTTTTCATTATTTTTTTCTTTGATTATTGTGTTTATGTGTGTGTGTTTTTGTTAGTAATAAATATTATGTCTATGTCTATTACTCAATGTCAATCAAATAGGCAAGTTCATCAGCCTCTTGAGTCTGATACATGCCATGTCGACTTTGTGTCTAAGGCAAGCCGGTTTCCTCACGATGTTTTCTGATTTTAGCTAATGTTAAATGCGCACATAAGTCCATTGGTACAAAGCAATTCAAACCTACGACCTCAGGGATGAGAGACTCTTATTTTTGGCCCGTTAGTTTTCCACCTGAAGATGTTTATTATACATAGAGAATATATAAACAGCTAAAATGTTAAAAGATCTTGTCAACTACTTTCATTTTAAGTATTTTAATATTATTGTAATAAATATAGTTTAAAAAAACTAAAAAAACTCGCTTTTAAAGCACATCAAACTAAAAAATGAAAAATAATTCCTAACTTAGGCTGAAAATGGTTATGAACAATAAATATAAATATTATTGTGTAAAAGCGTGGGGCGCTCTGTGCTATAATTTTCGTCTATCGAGCACACACTAGATATTGGAGGTCCTGCTGCTAGGACCTCCGTGTTGTCTCGTGTTGTCTCAATTTAACCGTATTGCTTTGTGGACTTAAAAAAAATTCATTGTTTTTTTCGAGATAAACCTATGAAATTATTATATTGTCGCTGATTCTTTATAAGTGTACAAAGTTTGAATTAAATCTGTCCGTTTAAAGTGGGTCAAAATCGAGTCCGAAGGAGTCGGTTACATACATACATACATACAGGTGAAGCTAATATAAAGCGTGTAATAAATATCGACGCTTAATACGAATTATGACTTATTTGTGTAGCGTCTGTATTTTTTTAACACATAAACATGTGTGCAAATAAGGTATTTAAATTCTCGAACAATCAGAAAATGGTGAAATTTGGGAATAATATTTACTGACACGTCTGAAACAGCAGTGTTGGTCTAGTGGCTTCAGCGTGCGACTCTCATCCCTGAGATCCTACGTTCGATCCCCGGCTGTGCACCAATGGACTTTCTATGTGCGCATTTCATTATCGGACGTCAAGGCAGAATACAAAATAACATCCGTATCACCTCGTCGTCCCTACCACAACTGAGCGTTTTGTAAGGCAGTTTTTGCCGCGTACCACCACTATATGAAATCAGCTGCCCACTGAAGTATTTCCGAACCAATTCGACTTAGGGTCCTTCAAGAAAAGAGCGTACCAAGTCTTGAAAGGCCGGCAACGCACTTGCAAGCCTTCTGGCAATATGAGTTGCCATGGGCGGCGGTATCACTTAACATCAGGTGAACCTCCTGCCCATTTGCCTCCTATGACATAAAAAAAAAACATTCGCTCGAACGGTGAAGAACAACATCGTGAGGAAACCGGCTTGCCTTTGAGCCAAAATCGACGGCGTGTGTCAGGCACAGGAGGCTGATCATCGACTTGCCTATTAGATTGACAAATCATGAAACAGGTACAGAAATCTGAGGCCCACACTTAACAAAGGTAGCGCAACTGATTTTTATTATTATTACTAGGGACTAAAAAGTCGCATAGGGTCAAATGCCAATTTCTTATTTGGTGATTACGTCAACAGTAATTATTTACTTTTTTACACATATTACCCACACATTGTCGATGCAGCATTTTCAAGGATTCCTACAAAAATTTAATACGTTTATGTATTTTTTTGAGAGCTTTGCTTACTTTTGTTGACAAGCGGTAGGGGGGATAAATTGTAAGTCTTCTTACGTAATACTTGAAGGGCCCCAAACCATGAACCCAAAAATCTAGCTTCGAGAGATCACTGAGCCAGCAAATGATCACTGGTGTTAATTTTAAATTAACAGCTCTGGATGCAGACATCCCCGGAGTTGTGGTGTTCTCATACCCGCGTTACTGCAGATACAGAGCGATTCTTGCCCGTTTAGAGGGTATCCAAGCTGACTGGTTGAGAGACTCCCTGGTGGCCGCTTTGGGAGGGTATGCGGCACCCACAAATAACACTAGGATATTGTATTGTAAGGTGAGCTATCAATATCCAAGTACTCACAGGATCTAGAATAATTGGGGCCAGACTGAGGAACACTATGATGATGAACTTCCTTCCATACGTATTGATATATTTCTGACGACATACACGAATCAATTCGGCTTAGGGTTTCAAGGAAGCGTACCAATTCTTAAAAGCCGACAACGCACTTGCGAGCTCTCTGACATTGAGTGTCCATGGGGCATCACTTAACATCAGGTGAGCCTCCTGCCCATCTGTTGTTAAAAAAAGTGCGTGCATACAAAGTACACATGTCAGAAGTGAAACTTCTTTGGCAAACGAATGTTTAAGTCTTGTTCATATTTATACGAATCTAAAACTTTAGATTTCCGAGACTTAGAGGGAGGGAAAAAGGAAGATATGTTAGGAATTTAATGAATTTAAAGTCATTAAAAGTGTCGATAATTTATACAAATAATATTTTTCTCTCAATCGCTCTCTCCCTTTTATTTGACAAAAACGCTGCACAACTTCGTGACGTTCTGTAAAAATTTTAACCTTATGCGCCTAAAAAGTTTCACTTCAAAAACCCTAAAGGACGATTTTGTTTTTTTTTTAATATTTTTAGTGTCTATACTAAAATCTATGTTGGCATGTTGAGTACTATAATAATAAAACTTAGAATAAACAGGTACAGTGAAGATCCTACTAAAAATCCATTTTAATTTGCCTTGCCTTTCACCGGCACCCAGGGTTGGCAGAGCTGACAATGCTGTCCTGTCATGCTGACCTTTGTTCCATCTGGATACTATAATCTCTTCCAGGACACCTTCGAATACCCAGAACTAGAAGGTCATGAGTTCGTGTGTAACCATCTAGCGCCAAAGATGAAGGGACGGCCGCGTGGGCGGCGGCGAGCGCGGGCACGCGACCGTGACCACGATCCTGACAGTGACCGTGACTCGCGGTCAAGTGATAGTGATGCTGCGTCTCCATCGGATCCTAGGGTAAGTGTCATCGCCATAAAGGTCACCGTGAATGTTCTTCGAAGCTAGGAAATGGATAAAAATGTAGTTAAATATTCTAAAATATATACAGTAATTATAATATTCTTTACCTAAATAGTAATTAGATTTAAAAATTAATAAATAAAACAAATTTAAATAGCTTGGTCCCTGTGGCAGTGTACTTAATGCTGGCATTTCCTCGCTGTATGTTATTGACTTAGGGTCCTTCAAAAGAGCGTACCAATTAAAAGGTGGGGAAACCACTCGCGTGCCCTCTGGCATTGAGTGTCCATGGGCGAAGGTAACACTTAACGTCCTGCGCGTTTGAAGAAAAATAATAATAATCTATATTTCTTCTCTCACATATATATACAAGGTTATTATGATTAAACTAAGATGATAACATTAGGAAGTGTATGTGAGAGACTGGTCTCTGTAACAGGAGACCTGAGTGACAGATAGCCAGCCTCTCCACCACCGGACCGGAACACATACAATCAGGTCATTATCATAAGATACAATAGAAGAAAATAAGTATTAAGTGCTAAAAGAAAACATTGCAAACGGAGTAAAGAAAGAATAAAAAAAAAATTGCCTGTCCCAATAATGACTTTTTGTTTCCAAGATTGCGTCTCCACGGAGATTGAGATTACATCGAACTTGCATACAAAAGCTTCAGGATCTCTATCGAATTCAATTGCCCTGTTCCCAATTCAAGAACGTAGAAGAGCTAGAAAGAAACCCTCTGTCACTCTTTTTAATCGATAGTATACTTTCAGATACAACGGCGGGTGTCTCTTCGAATTGGTGCAGACAAGCCGAGTGAAGATGATGAAGGAGGAAGGGAGAAAGAGAAGGACGAAGCGTTCCTTCTAGAACTTAGGGAGTTTTATAAGGAAGACGTTAATATTGTACACACCAAGTATAATTATAGTAAGTACTAGTGGACCCCACAGACGTTGTCCTGCATGATATTTAAAGCGATTAGGATATTAAGCAAAGTATGAAAGTACCGACTGCAGTGCCATCTGCCGGGCTGATTTGTGAATCTAAACCATTCCCAGATCCCCTTGAACACACACAAAAAATTTCATCAAAATCGGTCCAGTCGTTTGAGAGAAGTTCAGTGACATACACACTCACAGAAGAATTATATATATAAAGATTAATTAGTCGATTGTAATGGGACAGAACATTACTACACTGTAAGGTTTTTTTTGGGAATCACATCTCGCTGTCTCGCATTCTTGGACGGTAAGAGCGTCGCTGTAATGGATATTAGTATTGCCAGCAAATAAAAAGTAACCATTATAAGGGGAATAATTTGAAGTGCAGGCTAAATTAATAATTTATTGAAATGTCTTAACAAAATAATGTATTCTAGTATCTAGAAAATACAGTTCTAGGCTTAAATAAAAGTGACATAAACTTAGGAACAGCTGATATGATAGATTTTGTTACCTGTACTATTAATATAATATCTTTTAAGATACCTATCAATCAGAACTTTGCCATTGTAATTAATAATGTAAGGACTATAAATAAATAAATTTTAGTTGGTTTTTTATTAGATGTTGGTAGATAGTAAAATTATTTATTGTACGCACCAAAGAATCAGCCTGACAAAACTGCGGAGCTGTGTACGTTATTTTGTCGCTTTATTGTCCTAGCGAGAAATAAACTCGACTATCGGCATCATACGTACTGAATTTTCTAAGAAATCCGTTCTTTTGTTTACAAATTAGGATTGCTTGAACGTGATTTATCACGAAGATGAATAAAATAAGTAAAAAAAATACAAAATATTTGCTGGTGCAGCAAAAGCGTTAGCGAAGCGTTCAAATAAGAATTGTTTTTTATGTAATTACTAGTGGACCCCACAGACGTTGTCCTGCATGATATTTAAAGCGATTAGGATATTAAGCAAAGTATGAAAGTACCGACTGCAGTGCCATCTGCCGGGCTGATTTGTGAATCTAAACCATTCTCGAATCTCCACGAACACACACAAAAAATTTCATCAAAATTGGTCCAGTCGTTTAGGAGGAGTTCAGTCACATACACACGCACACAAGAAATATATATATTAAGATTAACACTAGTTTGAAATAAACTTTTTCTTTTCATTTAACGACAACTCTTTGTAACATTAAAATACGCACACTGCACAGTCTTGAGTGTCGTTATACATATACGTTATTACACTGTATAATTAATTTTACATAAAAAAATCGCAATAAAAATCCTATAATATTATTTATTTTTATAGTATCACTACGAAAATTGTATTCACGCGTGAAGTCTTACGGCGGCTACGAGACGGTCTGTCGAGGGAGGATATGGTGTTTGATATATGAAGGAAAACTAGCGCCGAGGGCAAAGAAATTATATGAAAGGTAAGCAAAAGAACGTAGCAACTCTTAAAAGGCCGGCAACGCACTTGCGAGCCTTCTGACGATGCAAGAATCCATGGGCGGCAGTATCACTTAACATCAGGCGTGCCTCTTGCCCGTTTGCCATCTGTTCTATAAAAATTGCGTGCGTACAAAGTACGCTGTATCTCACTCTCTCTCGATCTTTCTCACTAACTTGCTCCCTACTCTATGGCTATTTGCTTCATGCTACGTTCGCCCTTTCTCACTCTCTCTCAATAACTCTCTCCCTTCTCTTCGACAAAAACGCTGCACATTTTCGTGACGCTTATATTATTATGATTATTGCGTTTCATCCGTCAAAAATTACCCTCATGCGCCTAAAGAAGTTTCACTTCAAAAAGCAGCATTAGCGTTTTTAAAGAGTAGAAATTCTGTATGGACTTCTGCAGGACTGGCTCTCTCTGCCCTGTCGAATAGCATCCTGGGTTGTATGAGTAACGAAGCCTTTTAAAGAAATCGTGAATTCTTCAAAAATAGTTAAATAAAAATTGAATACAAATTAACATATCATCATCAATGGATGTACAGCCCCTTATGGGCCTCCGCAAGTATCTTTCGCCAGCGACATCTATCTCGTGGTTCTTGCGTCGAGGGCCTTGACAATTCCAACCCAACAACGCAGCCTTGCTCTACCGAGTCTTCTCTTGCCTGTTCTGATTTCAGTAAGGACCTTGGAGATTCAAACACATATACAATATATGATGAATAAATTTCAGATACCTCTTGCCTTTGGAAAAGCACCAACGCCGCCAAAACTCCCGGCTCCTGCCGAAAATCAACGGCAAAATAGACGATAAAACCATAGACACAATAGACGTCACAGAGTCGCCTCTACGTGACATAGACAAACCCATAGACAAAGCAGACAAACGACTGCGCACGCCGTCGCCCAAAGACAAAATTATTCTAGACAATGAAACTGGTGAAATATTAAAAGACGAAATTAATGTGACTTCGAAACCGGCTGAAGAGCTGAACAGGGAGTTTCTAGAAGCTATATCCAAGCAGAAGGAGACGGAGGAGAGGGAAGAGAAGGAGAAAGTGAAGATTTCAGTGAAGCCCGTAGAGAAATTGATTGAAAAGGATGATAAGGGTTTTCTGAATGAATTGACGCAAAAGTTGCATTTGGGTGAGTTTAATGTGTTTTAATAATTTAAATTGAAACCTCAGGAAAAATTAAAGATAAAATCCACCAGAAATTCGTGGTGGAATTGAAGTTACTGAGTATAAAGAATAGTGAAAACAAAACATCTCACGAAATGTATAATAATTCCTCCTGTTTTTAAGTCGGTTATAAATGGGACAAACTTTTTTGTTAATTATCTGCAATACGAGCCGTCAATTTTATAAGTTTTTTGTCTTCATTAAAAAAATAACTACTAGAGTCTGGCTAATGAAAGAAGATAACGAAAAAGCGCGGTAAATTTAAAAAAAAATAGTATGGTATCCCTAAATATTTATTTTGTGGATTAAACTTGATACTTGATTTTATTTTATTATTTTTTACATTAATAGTAACTGTATTTCTATGAAATTAAATACTATACGTATTTAGTCTTTTAATATTGATACTTAAAATGACTAGCATTGCATGGAAAACTATATTTATTATAAAACACAACTTTATTCGGAATAATCAAAATCAGAATAAAAAAAATCAATAAAACAAAGTTTAGGCTATTATACCTGTTAAATATTCGGAAATAATTATTATAGAAATAAAAATGAGTAATTGCATGAAGTAAATAAATAAATCATTAGTAACTAAATAACCTAAGAAATTCAATGACATTCTGTGTTGCCATCCGAAAGTTTTTAATAGTTTCTAATATTTTTTCAGGCAACACTGACACCACAATATTAAAAGAGCTGTCGGACGCGCAGAGCAGTGTTGCCAGCAACGCGCTAACTAGCCTATCGTCACTGAGTGAGAAGTACGCTGTTAACGGACAAATGCCCGCGCTGGGAATAGATCAGGTACTTACAATTTTTTTTTGTGTTTAAATTGATTTCTTTATTCGCAAAAATATTCCTTATGTCGAAATAAAATATATGATATTAAATACATCGTCAAGTAACTTTGTTAACGGGAATCTGTACAACAGATTCTGGCCCTTGGTATCGCATATAACCAGGGCCTTTACAGATATCCCCTAGGTATAAAAAAAGTGCGTGCGTACAAAGTACACATGTCAGAAGTGAAACTTCTTTGGCAAACTAATTTTTAAGTCTTGTTCATATTTATATATACATATTTATCCGAGACTTAGAGGGAGGGAAAAGGGAAGATATGTTAGGAATTTAATGAATTTAATTATCGTTAAAAATTCGATAATAAAAACACGTGGCATTTTAATTTATAATTCGTTATTTGAGATTTCAATAAATTATTTTGCATAATATATAAAATACTATTATTTCTTAAACTCTTTTCGAAATTTTAATTTTAAAAATATAAAATCTATAATGTAATTCGCCCTTCTCACTCTCAATCGGTCTCAGTCGCTCTCTCCCTTTTCTTCGACAAACGCTGCACATCTTCGTGACGTTTCATCTGTAAAAAATTTACTCTGATTACTCTCAGGTCTCACTTAGACCCTATTATCTTTAGCTGGCCCGGCGAACGTCCTACCGCCTAACAGACAATGATTATTATCGTGCTACAAACCAGCTGAACCATCAAATGATGTTCATGTGCAACAGTCTGGTTCTGGTCCTCGAGATATCATCGGGACATGTTGGTTAGAAAAACATCGGGAAACGGAATGTTTTAATAGCCTTTCGGATAATTTTTTAGTAGTATTAATTTTTAGTAGGAATCCTCGAAAATGCATTTCGTTTTGAAGCATAGACAATTTATGGGTGAAAAAGTAAATAATTACTGTGACGTAATCACCAAATAAAAAACTCAAATAACCCCCTCCCCCCCATTAGTGCTTACGTAATACTTGAACGGCCCTTCTCATTATACCACTTCCCATGTGCTCACAATGTCCTTTTAAACACTCTTTGTAGCGTCCTTTTTCCAAAGAGTTTAGTATGTCAGATTTATCATAAATTTATTTGTAAATTTCAGCAAAAATCACGACCGGTGGGGCGAAGCTCCCTTCGCGCAGTTCGAGTTAAGCCCACGAGACCGCAACTGCCGTCCAGTACCCGTAAGTTTGCACGATTAACCTATCTATAACAATTTTATAACTTTTAAAGCTGTCAAACTATTTGAAGTTTGCCATATTTGACAGGCCTCTAGAGCACAATGATATTCGTCGACCTAAACAACAACTTTTATTTTCTTTATTCCTACACAATTATGTATTTACGCGGATGCTTAGAAGACACATGCAACATCTTCAATACAAAGAGTGTGAGTTGTGTGCGATATTGCTATTGGGAAGTTGCATGGATCTGGTTAGCGCTGCGTCTTCTTAAATTCTCATGTCATTTTCACACGCGTATTCTATATTTTATTTTCATATGTGTGATGTTTGAAAGCAAAAAAATTAAAGTTTTTGCTTTTGAATTTGTGTTTTTTTTTTTAATATTATGGCAATAGTTTTAACTTTATGCCAGTTTCAAGTAAAATTTTTGAAAGTTTCACTACAGTTTAGGCGTACCAATGCGCGGCAAGTAGGCAGAGTAGTAGAAATCTAGAAAACTACTTTAAGTTTTCAAAGATACTATCAAAACTAAAATTTTACAATAATTTTTGAGCCTTAAATGTATAACGCACAGATTACACACAGACAAGAGTTGACAAGTGACATGTGACAAGTTGGCGCCTTTAAGAGACGTTTGACGTGCTTTATGACTGACAATAAGTTAGATTTTATTATTTATTTATTTATTAAGCTTACGACATCACACACAGTACTAAATCTACTAATTATTTTACACAATCTTACATCTAAAATGTGTGACAATTAATGTAAACATAAGTTTCACAAAAAAAAGAAAAACAGTATAATAAAAATAGATTTGATTTAAAACTATTTATAATTTCAGCCCCCCAATCATCAGTGACGGAAACTTCACCGCCTCCACCAGCGCCCTTGACCAACTTCGGGATCCATCACCCCCCTGCCCCTCCCAGACAAGTGCCCCTCAAAACTACATCACACAGTGATGACGAAATCGTTGAGGTAAATATATCTACAAATATCCAGTTAGCTTACCACGTATTCAATACATTTTAAGTGTTTTCCCGCATCATTCCAAATACATAAGGCATCTTAGATGACGTCAAAAGAGTTTTTAAAGGAGTGCAATTATTATTTATTTAATCAATTATTTATATAAGCTATAAAATCTATATAAGCAGTGCTTTAAAACTTTCATGAATCAACATTTTATATACAGGATGGCCTAAAAGTTGTGGATCAAACGCAAATAGGGGATAGATAGGATGAATTAGTAAAAAAAAGGCAAGTTTTTTATAAAAACGCAAAATAAATTATAACTGCAGGGGTTGAGCTTAGAGACCTCCCGTAGAACAATTTTTTGCAGCTGATGACCTCATCTATCCCCTATTTGCGTTTGATCCACGACTTTTTGGCCACCCTGTATAAGTAATTAAATTAAATTAATTTATGTTTCGATTCGTACTTATAAACAAAACACTTCTAAACTCTCAGTTCTCAAATCAAGGAGTAAACTATTTAATAGCCAAGTTTTTTTTAATTAATGTAATTTGACTAGCTATAGTTGTACGATACTGTACCTGTTTGTATGTGTATCATCTGTCAAATATTAATACGATATATACTCTTTAAATCGTTTATTTGGGACGTGTCCACATACCTTGTAACACTGTGCCCTGATGTCCATACAAATTAACGCCAGAATATGGCTCTGACTAGGGCTAAAATAATAGTCGGGATTTAACAAATTTTCTAATTTTTCCACAGGTCCCATACATACCAAAAACACCAGAAATAATAGACCTAGATGAATACCCCGAAAGCCCGCAAGGTGTTAAGAAGAAAAAACTAGATATTCTCAAAGAGAGGGGGTTAGAAGTGACGGCGATACCCCCTGCACCCATTTGGCCTCAAGTGTTAGCGACCCCCATAGCGCCCCTCATAAATCCTACCCCCGTTATACTAAATCCTGCGGTACAACACCAAATCATGACGCAAGCGCAGCTGTTCCAAATGTACAATATTATACCTCCGACTTACAACAATGGCGCTGTACCTCCCAGAGTTATCCAAGCGACTAGTGCGTTCGGGACGTCGGGCCCCGAAAAAACAGTCTACGGCAACCCAAAGGACCCGTTCATGCCGCCCCCACACGTCCTACAAGGCACCCCCATCAAACCCCAAAGAAGCATACAAGTTACCGGACCAACCCCCCAAGATATTCTGGATCTTACGTGCAAATCTCTGTCTCCCCCACCGCAGAAACCAGCTGTGGAAATTGTCAGAGTACCCCCACAATCGCCCTCAAGAACACCAACTCCACAAAACTTATCCAAAAACTACACTCTGGTGGATGGAAAAGCCGTAGTCGGCTCCAATTTAGAAATAACTCTAGTTAACCCCAAAACGCCAACGCCGCCAAAACGACCCCCACAAAAGCGGTCTTCGAACGGCAAATTCATCTCGACAAAGACGCCGACGCCCCCCAAAGACTACACGAAACCATTCCCGCCCCCGTCCCCATCGGGGGTCAAAAAACCCCCAATAGTAGTACCGAATTATCAAATTTCCCGCGACGATGTCTCACCAACGAGTTCTACGGGGTCCAAGGAGTCCCAAAACAGTGTTCAGAACAATTTAGCTAACGTATTTAAGGGGCAGAATTTGACCCAAATGATGGATATGCAGAAGAATGTGCCCCTGACCCCTTTTATGGACCCCATGTATATGAACGCGTTTTATAGCAGTCTGGGACAAATGGACCAGCGTCAATTGGCTCTCTATAGAGACTTTATGGCGAATCAGTTTAGGGGATATTCGGGTTTATTGAATATAGGAACGCCGACAACGAAAAATTAGGTTTAAATCTAGTCGTTAAGCGAATTTGCGTTATGAAAACATATTTCCAAAATGACAGCTATTCTTCTAAGTTTTTAATAGGTTTGACACTCAAATGCGAAATATTGTTTTTGGGGCCGTTCAAGTATTACGTAAGCACTATAGGGGGAGAGTGAGGGGGGGGGGGTTCCTTTAATTTTCTTATTTGGTTAACACGTCAACAGTAATTATTTACATTGTCTATGCTTGAAAACGAAATGCATTTTCGAGGATTCCTACAAAAAATTAATACGTTTATGTACTATTATTTTAAGAGCTTCGCTTACTTTTGCTGACAGACTTTTACGAGCCTCCTGCGTTGCCCCCTCTAATAAAAAAAACTCTCCGACACTGTCTTTGACTAGTTTTTCTTGACAAGGAAATTCTGAATCCATTCCTATTGGTCGCGTGATATATTATTACGCGCGCATTACCTCTTACACGATTTGTGTTTAGTTTTCCGTAATTGATTTGTCAGACCAAAGATTACAGAATTATTTCATAACGCAAATTATTATTGTGATAATTGTCATGTGTGTTCCGATCTCTTTATTTCCAATGCGGTGTTATAACGCTTTAGTATTCCAATTGTAAATAAATTGTGTAAATAATGGTATGTTTTCCTAATAACGGGAAATTTGTCGTAAAATGCCAGTTTCAGCTTTGTTTTAGTTACGGCAATTCCTTTTGGGGCGATTTAGTTGAATTCAGCCAGTTCCTATTTTCAACTTACGAATAATGTCAAATCGTTATTTGTTGGATGTAAAAGTGATTGGTTTAGTTAGGTTAGTATAATATTGTTCCTAGGGTAATTTTTTAATTCGCAATGGTATTGCGCTGACAGCTGTCACTGCACCGTCGATGACATGCGTCAGTCATTCGCTGTACAAAAATAAAGTTATCAAAATTTTTAAGTTTTTTATTTCGGATTCTCTGCACAATACTTATAATTGACAAAAAATCTTCCCGAAATGTCGCAGCCAACTAACTTAATTAGCCGTTCAATTAACAGCCCAGACTTTTAACTGAAAGATTTCACCCGTAGCGTTTGTTACATTTAATAAACTGGCTAATGCTTAGGCCATTCGTACGATACAGAGACCGTGTCAAAGAAAAAAGTTAAACATCTGATACAAAAAATATTTCTTTAAAAATTAAATTGTCAGTAACAGCTAAATTTACATTATTATTGTCACTACACTCTGCTCTCTGTCTTTGCCGATGAGTAGGGATGTCTACCTATACAAGTTTAATGACGTGGAATAAGTGACATATTTTATTTTTACTGCTTTCCAATCAAACCCACTTCCAATTGAAAGTATGTATAAGATTGGAATCTATGTATTTCTTTATTTGATGAAGCTTGCCAACGCTCGGCAAACTAATACATTAGTACTAGAAAAATGAAATACTTACTATTTAATGAGACAAGGACTAGTATGCAAACATAATATACACGAAGAGATAAATAAAATATTTACTTATTTATAAGTTCTAAAACAACGTGTGTGCATAAAATTATACAAGAAAATATGACATCACAAAAATTACACACATACACATATTATTTTTTTGAACATAATCAAGCTATCAAATAATAATATCTAAAAAAGTAATAATAACTAAAACTATTTAGGGATGTTTGCTTCGGTTGATTCGTTCAGAATTATTTGGTCGATGTTAAAATAAAACTTCCTAATTGCTTGTAGAGAAGAGGTGAAGATGGAATAATGAATGATTTTTATTTACAAAACTGTGTACATTTATACCTAAAAATTATCCTACACTTACAACTAATATTGACATGTGGTGCAAAGATGCGGAGCGTTGGTTGGTTGGGCAGGTACCAGGGCAGGCGATAAAAACGCGGCACGGCAAAAAGTTGGCCCTTTTCTGCGCGCAGCCGTCGAAGCGTACGAACGTGTTCTTCTTGGAACACTTCGGTATCGTAGCCTTACGATAACGCTAATAACTGTTCTTTTCAGAACAAATTATTGTATCACGACAAAACGTCTAACAACTGTCCTTTTCAGGACATATTATTCTTGTTTCTCGACAAAAGTTTAACAACTGTCCTTGTCAGGACATATTACCGTGTCCTACGACACGATGAAACTGTTCTTTTTCAGAACACACGACCGTATATATTCTGATATGTTTTTGTCAGAACACATCACTGTTTCATTACGACACGTAAACTTATCACCTAAAACTAAATTAAAAAAAATATAAAAAACTACACGAAAATCGATATCAATGTGTGAGAGGAGCCACTATGGATATCCAAACCTAGTTCGTTGAACAGAATGCTCAATCTGGATAACGGTGAGTTTTAGCCAAAACGCGTTCTTCCGAAAGAACAAATAGTATGATGGGATGCCTGGGATATCTAATGGATACACCAGTCACCAAATAAAAATAAACAGTTGGAGCAATCGTTTGCTTCTCAATGACTCTTAAAGTGGTGGTTTTGTATTTTGGAAACTCTTTTCTCGAGATGACACTGCAGAAAAGTAGATTCGCGCTGTATAACAATACTTATTCTTTGACCGAGGATAGCACCAGCTCTGGGGTCACCGGTACTTGTCACAATAATTGTTTGAAACGCGACAGTTTTGAGGTTTTAACACGAACAGCTACGGTAGCTTCCTCAAGTGCCTTGGGGCCTACAATGAGCTCTTATTGCGAGCCTATTGACAACCTACAATTGAGATGCATCGCTTATCCGTACCATGACGTCGGAAAAACCATTTTCCGTTTATGTTTCCACGTGACTTGAGCGGTAATCAATTCGTACCATGACCTCGCGACTGAATCAAAATTAGACCATTTCGCCTTCAAACTATGTCAGAATAATAAATTCTAAAAAATATACTGTTTGTTCCACTATTTTGTATCGAACGTGGCCAAATAATAGTGTAGAACGTATAAAATTCAATATTTTAATGAAAAGTAGCTACTCACTATTTCGGATATTAAAAAGTTTTACTTTGGGTTAATTTTGAGTTTAGGAAGTGTTATTAGGAAGAAATTATTGAAAAATCGACGGAAATAAGAAACAATACGACAATCCCCTTCCACCGACTTCGAAGATGTCGAGTTTATAATTTGCTATAGATCAACGACTTGATTCGTTGAACATTTCTGTGTACTTGTGTAAATATGTAGATACATACCAAATTAATTAATTGATTATTACTAAACATAATTTGTGCAATTGTGTGTGTGTAAAAAAACAGTAAAACATCATATATTTACAAAAGTCTCTTGCGACTTCTTCAACGATTATTACGTGTACTTATTAAAATATACAACATACACCGCACACCTTCTTTAGGAATCTGTATTTCAGGTAAAAATAGCCTGGTTTTTAATTTTACAATAAATAAGAATGCTATATCACTAGTATTTTTTAATAAACTTTTCCTTATTATGTTCATAAATCGAATTATTCTCCTCGGATTTTTTGTTTCTTTAAATAATCACAGATATTTTTTAAATTTATACTATGTAAATAATAAGCCATTTGAAAATTCTAATAACAGTATTTATTAAATCTATTTAGTTAGGACGCCATCAAGATAGAAGAAACTCCAAGAACTGTTCAAAAAATAAAAACACAAACCAAAAATTATTTCTTTAATTTCCATCTCAAAGCTAATTTACAGAAGTGGGCGAAATGTGATTCAATTCTAGATTGGGTCAAATTAATTCTAAAATAGGTAGAAATTTGACCCATACAAGACCCTTAATCTATGGTTCATCAGATGTACCCAGCACTGCTCCGCTGTAAGCCAGATCCCAGTAATGTTCAACTTTGTGTTTCTGGAATAATTCGCGCGCTTGCTTTTCCGTTGGCATTACCTTTAAAAATTAATTTATGTAAGTCATTTTTGAATTAATAAACAATTGAGGGAAAAAACAACTTCAATATTGTACATAATTTAGAACTAAATAAATAATACGTTATGAGACTAAAATTTAAAAGATTCAGATTTATTAGTGACAATAATAGAACCTAAACAGATTCTTATTTTTAATTCTCTTAAAAACATAACAAACATTGAAAAACACTTTTTTACCGGATTGAAGTTATGTATTATTATAAATTTACAATTATTTTTCATAATTTTTAATTTAACCGACGTTTCGCGTGCTTTACAGCGTGCGTAGTCTCGGTGACTGAAGACAAAAGGTGTTGGATGTCAAAAAAGTATCACAGCTGTAGAAAAAGTTGTATTATCTGTATTTATATATGAAATATATCATCTTTTAGTCGATACCAACTCCAGGGAAAGAACTACGCTGTAAAGCACGCAAAACGTCGGTTAAATTTAAAATAATTGTAAATTTATAATAATATATAACTTCAATCCGGTAAAAAAGTGTGTTTCTATGTGTAAAAGTTATGTCAATAAAAGACAATACTATAACTAACATTCATTTATTACGTTTTTAAAAACCCGCCAAAACGATTCTCTAGGCAAGATGGCGTCGCCAGTCCCGGTGACATCACTGTGAAATGTCAAGTTTTTATCGTATTAATTAAGATTAGACAGGAGTTCGGTGGCGGTTTTTGTTGATGTTCAGATATATGTTAAATGGAACATTTTGTTTGAAGCTGGGTATCAACTGGCTTTAAACGTTTAATATGAGCTTATAACAAACAAAATTAGGGGTAGTGGTGGGGTTGCGACGGTACCAAAAAAACTAACTTGACTTATTGAAGAGTTCTTTAATCTAAGTTATTAGATATTATCGGAAACGATAATGTTAAACAATTTATGAGTGTCTGAAAAACTAAAAGACTCATTTTGGCTACAAGTGTGCGATGATTGCTAACTTTCTATTATTTACTAAAATATATAATATATATATGTATAATGAAGACATCACAAGCTACGACATCGATTTGATCGTATAAGAATACTTTTAATTATGATTTTTTTTATAAACTAATGATTATTATATTATTTATTATAAGAGCCGTGTTGGCCTAGTGGCTTCAGGTTGCGACTCTCATCCCTGAGGTCGTAGGTTCGATCCCCGGCTGTGCACCAATGGACTTTCTTTCTATGTGCTCATTTAACATTCGCTCGAATGGTAAATGAAAACATCTTGAGGAAACCGGCTTGCCTTAGACCCAAAAAGTCGACATTGTCAGACACACATCTTGGCTTCCACTTGCCTATTACAATAAAAATGATCATGAAACAGATACAGAAATCCGAGGCCCAGACCTAAAGAGGTTGTAGAGCCACTGATTTATTTAATGATTATTATAACTTATATTACTCCATAATGCCATTTAAAGTAGAACATGTACAATAACACTGACGTAATCGATGTCGTAACTTGCCTTTAAACGCGTAAGCAAACTTAAAGTTTTTTTCATAGAACAAGGGGAAAAGCTCACCTGATGTTAAGTGATACCGCCGCCCATGGACACTCTCAATGGCCGAGGGCTCGCGAGTGCGTTGCCGGCTTTTTAAGAATTGAATGTTTTATATAAAAATCTTGTCGTTTACCTTAAATTTAATCTCCCCAAAGGCACGATGCGCTGTGGTGCCCTCCCAGACCAAATGACAACTGTTCGGGACTTCAGTTCCGTCCGATTCCTTTATCATGTCCTCTTCCCATTTTATACGGTTAAGCATCAGTCTGTGAATTATAAAATTAATTATTAATTGCTCCGCATCATTACATTCACAATTTTTTTTCGAACTATAATAACATGAACATCAAATGAGTAATTTGCACAGACACCAAATCCCTGCACAGATTATATAGGCGAACGGTCGAAAGGCCTTACCCTGCCCAAAAGCCAATTTAGTTAAAAACACATGACAATAGACGTATATGTATGCCGTCCCTGTGACGCCAAATAAAATAACAATAGATAGAAAATAATATATTTTTTAAATATCTTCATAAATCTTGACTTGACACGATTGATAATACCTACCTTTTATTTTTGAAATTTCTTCATTTTACAAAATAATATAATACAATCATAATAAGTTACATTAGAAAACCGCTGTGGTTTGTATTAATACAGTCGTGTTTAGGAGCGCGACAAATGCATATAAAAGTAGTTTTTTAATTTAATTTTTATGTTGATTGGCAATAAATTAAGCAATCTAATATCTGCTTGGGTAGACCATTTATTAGCCGCGGTAGCAAATACCTCAACGTTCTCTCGCCGTATACTTTGTTTGCTCTCGATGTACAGAGCCGAACTTGAATCTAAAAGTCTAAAAATTATCTCGTTGAACCACTCAATTAAAACAAATAGCAAAATGAAGCCGGAGCGGAAAAGGGGAAGAGGAGAGGAGTCAGGAGGTAGTAAGCAGGGCAGGGCAACTGAGGTTACAGCCCCTGTGCCACCACAAAACAAGGACCTAGAGTCAACTTCAGGAAAAATATTTCAATTTTTTTTTATGGCTCTGGCACGGTTTGTGCATTAGCCAGCGTCAAGTATAAGATTTTTATAATTCGTGCTTGCCTTAGAAATTCGTCCATGTCCTCCATGTACGGTTTAAGCACTCGCCCGGTACCGCACAACCCGCCCAAAGGCCGAGAACAAATTTAAATTAAAACTTGCCCTCGAACCGGGAATCGAACCCGGTACCCCTCACCTAGCTGCCACTTAATAAGACCGCTTGACTATAAGGCCCTTAATATTTCAAAATTCGACAAGTTTTAAATTTTTTTTCATTAATTTGGTTTTTAGGGGAGGGAGGCACTCCTTTATCGCCTTGAGACCGCTAAATCCTAGCATAATATAAACATATCTTAATAAAATATAAAACCTCACCTCTTATACTTGGCGTGTTGTTTGGGCCCGCCTTCAACAACAACAACACAACAGCCACGATGCAACACAACACAACCTGTCATGTGCAATTGTTGCGCATTCACTTCCACTTTGAATTTGGCCGAGGCGCACTCAAATAGATCTTTGATTCTGAAACATTTTTATATTAAATATATTGAGTAGGTAGCTAGTGAATATAGATAGTGACTTTGTGAATTTTAATTTTATTTTTTAAATGTTTAATAATTATTTTTTAATTTAGGGTTTTTGTCATTTCAAATGTTTTTGAAGTTATACTTCTTTTGCCGGGTTAGGGAAAAGTGATGAGGGTAAATTTTTACGGCATAAAAAACCTACACTATTGAAAGTTTTATTGTAACACATTATCTAGTTAAATAAAGTTTATTTAAATATAACAAAAAAAATATTTCTACATAATTAATGAAATGGACATTATTTATTTTAGCATGCAACTTATATTTAATTTACGTCCATTGATTGGAGTTCAGTAGACATGTGAGTTACAAGAGGCTGGTGATAGCTAAAGTATGATACAAATATTTTTGTAGAAACATTTTCTGAATATAGTACAAATACAGCATCAATAGTTGTATGAAAAAATTAAAATGTTGACTATAGCTAAACTATAGAAATATTTGTTATTTTTGTATAAGGGAGAGTTCAAGTATTAAGTAACAAATTTTGGGAGGGGGGGGTCCTTTTGTGAACGTTACGATGCGGGGCGGGGATTGAATTACGCGTTATTGTTAATATTATTTTCGATTTTACAGCACTTTACACCACATAATGGTAATTTTTAGGTATAAAGAGTCACTGGGTGGTCACGAAACGTTTTACTATTGGGTACGTGTAACATGGGGGAGGGGGGGTCCTATAATCTCCAAAAATTGCGTGACGTAATACTTGAATGCTCCCTTAGGTCACATGACTAATTTACCTTTTTGTTGGTAAAACATAAAAATACGTAGCATATTATTTTTATTGCCCTCAAATGGGTCAAATATGTCCCTTTTTCGGTGAACTTTTTTAGTAGCAACACTTATGAAATGTCAAAATTCTACGGAATAAAAAATCAGAGTTTACTTCAGGCTAATAATAGAACTTAAACCGTGACGACATACTTCTTCAACAACACGGTAATCTCGTCACAATTATTACAAAATGTGGTCAAAAATATCCTTGTTTTATCGTCATGACTCAATAATTAAGACGAAGTAAACAAGTCATCGATTACATCAATTTAATTAGTTTGCGGTTTGGATTAAATGATCGTAGAACAATGTCGGATTTGAAAAAAAATCAAAATCCACTTTTTATCATATTTCACATTGACTAAATATTACGGCTACATTTGAAAAAAATCCAGGTGTTTTTAATTTCAAATTAATAAGTCGGTAAAGTGACGGATTTGATAGACGCTCATTGATTTTTCTAGAAAAATTTAATTTTATTATTTTTATTGTGTTTCAAAAGAAACTTGTTTGCCAATTTTCATAATGACAGAATATGAATTAAAAAAGTTATGACAAAAACTAATTTGATTATATAATTTTGAAATGGCTGCCCTGTAAAGTTTACTATTTGTCAGATCCGTCACTATTCTACGACTGACGAAATAATTGTTTCCTTTTTCTTAGCTTGAATGTTTGTAAGTAACTTAACGACACCGGCTTTATTTTCAAAATATTAAAACTCACCTATATGCGGCGACGTGAACACCCATTGTTGTGTCTTCGCGGATTTTTCTGTCCACCTAAAATAAATAGCAATGAGGGTAGATGTAAAAATTAACTACCTTTATTTTAAAATAGAAGAACTTTTTGTGTCACTTCAAAAATTAACGCGTGTTAAACATGGCTTTTTAGTAAAGAGGTTTGGCTGTTGATTGAACGGCTTATTATGCTAGTTGGCTGCGACACATATTTGGTGTGTGATAATCTAAAAAGTTACCTAATTTGAGTAATCTGTTATTTTGTTAAAAATTAAAAAATATCTTACCTTCTCTCTCTTCTGCTCTTTCGTAAGTGCTCGCGCCTTATTCGCCTCCAAATGTGTCTTCTGTCTCTTGGCGATTTGCTCTCGTACTTTCGCCTCAATAGCTGTCGGGTCCTGGACCGCTTCCGTGCCAAGAGCTCGCATCAGATTCGATATTCTAAAAAACATCTCTTAGTCTTAGACCCAGTTTGCGTGTCTTGTTAATTGCGGATATTAATAACTATGAGTTAAAAAAAATTAAAAAAAATATGTATTTTTATAAAGATTGTTTAGCTGAGTGGTGAAGTTGTTCTTATCAGTTCAACTAACCCCTATTCATTACAAATATATTAGTATATGCATTCTTTTACCGTGCACCACTACTATGTCTAACCACCTGCCCATTGAAGTATTCCCGAACCAATTCGAAGTATTTTACTAAGTATTAAGTTATATTAAGTAGTAAGAAAAGAGCGCACCAATTCTTAAAAGGAACAAACTAAGAACAATCCTTCTGAGACTTAATATGTAGTTACACATTTCACTCACACACACTCAAACACACACTCACTCACACGCTCAAACACTCACACACTCAATCACACACACTCACTCACACTCACTCACACTCACTCACACACCACTCACTCACTCACTCACACACTCACTTACTCACCCACACACTTACTCATTTACTAACATGCACCCACACACAGGCGTGTTAAAAACAGTTGAAAAAAAAATGTAATTAATTTATATATTTTATGGAATTTTACTACTAAGTTTGTTCACCACCGCCGGCGGCTTTTAACTTCTAAAAGGTAGCTGAATAATAAATTAATTTAAATAAAAAAATATTCCAAAATATGCGCAAAGACCAAGGACATAAGATTATTTCTTTTGCGAACTAGACAACTATGGAATCAGCTTCCAGGTCTTCAATAGTAGATATGCAAATTTTCATAAAACAAGCGTACACCTCAAAAACCAGCTGGCTGACTGCATGGACCTCCATGCGGCCTTTCAAGGCTTTTCATTTGACAATTCTATACAAAAGTATAGAATTGTCAATTGTCACATAAAAGCCAGGAACATGCTAGATGTTAAAGAATCTTAAACCTGATCTTACCTTAGTTTAGGCTCTGGCGGCGCTTCCAATCCAAGTCTCACTTTCTCCTGTTCCTCCTTCCATGCTTCTCTCCTACTCTGTCTCCTTAACTTCTTCCTCTCTTTCTTTGTAAGAAATACTGGCATGTACGTGGGTTTTAGGGGTTCAGCTGAAAATAATTAATTATATAAGGCATCGTTTCTCGAGCGGGGGTTGGGGAGTCGGGTTTGTTTTAAAAGGGGGTCGCAGTCTGTTGTTGGCTGTCAAAATAATCTAAGGAATATAACGTCACTGTAGAATGATAACCTCGTATGTCCAGAGAACCAAACATTACGGGAAACAAAAAAAGGGTGCGTGTACTTATGTACGCGCGTAAGAAGTTATACTTCTTTGGCATTATTAAAAATAGTTTTTGATTGCATGCAAATAATTAATTACAATTAAATAATCAAAGACTGGAAAAGGAGTCATTAAAGTCAATAAAGTTCAGTTTACATTTGAAAAATTAATTAAATAAATATTTATTATTATTCTCTTACATTAAACAAATAAAACACTATTTATCTTAAAAAATATTTTTATTTCATTATACTATTTATTTTTAAGTGACTCTAATGTCTTCATCAGAATTTCGGTTTGTAATTTTAAATTAATCATTACTTGGTTGTGCATCTACGAGGTTTCTCCAAAACTAAAACTACCTACGTAGTCGGTCCCAAAGTTCTGTCATAAATGGAAATAATGATAAAAACAAAAGTACTGATCAGTTTGTAATGAGTGATATATCAATTCTTAGTACATTAATTAAGGAATAAAAAAAGCATAAAAATATTCGAAATAACCTCCCTCATTTTTAATACAGGCCCTTAAGCGTCGCGGCCAGTCGTCTATCGCAGCACGCACCATATTCGTGTCGATTTCAGTCACTGGTTTTTTTAAAGATGACTTCAGATTCTCCAAATTTTCATGAGGTTTATCACAGACCTTCCTCTCTAAGCCCTGTCATAATTTCTGGTCCAAAGGATTAAGGTCCGGACTGGAGGAAGGCCAATCCTCATGTCTAATTAAGACGATGTTTTGACGCTCAAACCAGGCTTTAGTGGTCTTGGCTTTGTATGCAGACGCAGAGTCCTGATGGAACACGAAGTGATGTCCCGCAAATAGGGTGCTGGACATGTCTTTGACAAGGCGATACAAAACCGTCTCTTGGTACACTGTAGCACTGGTTTTGACCCCCTTTTCGAAAAAATTAACCTCAGTTAGCCCGTAATAGGACACTCCCAACCAAACCATTACTGATGATGGATGATGTCCATGTTGCACCCTTGGAACTTTATTTTCAGCTTCTTCAGAACTCCTAGCGTACACTGTATAATTCTGTTTATTGTACTTCTCTTCAATATCGAAAAATTTTTCGTCCGTAAAGAGGATATCACGGTGTCGGTTTTTCGCGTACCGCTTAAACAACACCCGCGATCTCTTAAGCCTTATTGCTTTTAGACGAGCATTAAGTAAGTGCCCACTCTTTTTTTGTATGCTCGTAGACCAAGATCTTCATTTAAAACCTTTTTTACTGTTTTCCTACTGACACCCATCTGCAAATCCATCAACTTCTGTTTTCGGACAGGATTTCTTACTATCCGCGCCTTGATAGCTTTGATTACTGCTGGTGTTCTTGCGGAGCGTGGCCAGCCAGTTCTTTTCTTGTCCTCAACACTGGAGACTTCAAGGTACCTATCAATAGTACCGTACACAAACCTAAGCGTTATATTCAAATTTTTGAGCAACTTGAAAATGGTACTCGGCGAGTGTCCACAGCGGTGCAACGCAATAACAACTATTCGGTTTACTTTCAATGTCCACTCCATCGTGAAAAATTACGGAAAGTTATTGTTTTTTGTTTTAAAACAATAATCAAACATTCCAAAATAGAATGCAATAATTTTTTTATAAAATCCTGCTCGAAATGTAGAAATAATGTGCTAGTGACAGAACTTTGGGACCAACTACGTACTACTTGCTTTCTGCAACAAATAAGAGAATATTAATTTAAGCTCTGTCCATGCAAAACTTAAAATTTTTTATAATTCATATTATAAAATTTTTAACACATTTATATTAATATAATTATATAAATGTGTTAATAATATAATTTGTAGCACATGCTACAGACCTGGATAGCAACTTTCTTTTATTCTATTTAGAGATAGAGATAATTTAAATATAATACCGGTGTCTTCCTTGTAGGTTTCTTTGGAGTTGTTTGGGGATTCTTGTTGTTCAGTTCGACATGATTTTCTTTAACCTTTCTTTAATCCTACAAAATAATGAAATTGTTAAGTTATGTTGTCACTGTTGTGCACACCTTTGTTTGGCTTTTCTAGTATTCAAGTTATGTCAAAACTGATTTATTACCTTGTCATTGTTGGTTTTATTTGCTTTTGGGATATCAATTGTTTCCAAAATGATTTTATTTGTAATATCCTGAAATATATAAATAACATCTATTAATTTAAGTATCATGGTGAGTGGTTCGCACTCAGGTATTAAGGTGTATTATACCCACTGTCCATTATAAGTGGGAATGGGCTCACTTCTGGCCTGACTGACAGAGTTTCGGTACTACAAGTGCAACATGGATGTTTTGAGGTATTACAATATCTCTAACTACCCTGTAGGGGAATAAAGTACTGTTGTGAGCATATGCCTATGCTTGAAAGGTTGAACCTTGAACATCACCATACATCATATTTATAATTAACATTCCTACCTCGACACCATCACAATCAAATTCATTGAAATCTACTTCAAACCGTTGCGGTATCATCTCTGCCATATCCATTGTGTCTCGAGAAGGTGATGGTGGCTTTGTTCCACCTCCAGTTTTTGATGTTTCACGGCGATAAGATGACAACTCTTTTTTTTGTATTCAATTTAGTGCACTTCCACTGATTCATCAATTGTTTTTTGTCTCTTGTCCTTATATTTGCTAGATTAAATCTGAAAAATTACATGTTTTGATTAAATAATGTGGTCATTTTTTTGAGATGCAGGTACTTATTAAAATGTTTACTTCTCTGTTATATCGCTCCAAGCCTTCATTTTCTCCTTATTAGTATTCGTGCTTAAATCTTTGTTCTCAATTATTGATATATAGGGTCGTAGAATATTTCTAAAAAGTTGCTGTAACAAACGCTATAAACAAAAGCAATGAATAATGGTTCATGTTTCAGTTTTAATCAACAATAATACTCGATAATACATACGGATAGTTAACCTCAATTGTATTGGAGCACTCAGGAAGGTTGGCACAGTTTTTTCACAAATATTTTATCATATTAATTAGTTTTGATTTAGATTCAATTTAAATCACTTCTGATTATAATTCAGACGCACATATAAAATTCGCATTTGTATAATGAAAATAACTAGGTATATAATTATTTATTGTAAACAATAATTAAAACTCCTATATTTGTTTAAAAGGTAAATGTCATTGTCAGATGTCATGGTCATTCAAAATTCTTGTTAAGCTGCTAAGCTAAGAAATAGAATATGCGTGAAGTTAGCTTCACGCATATTCTATTTCTTTTTACTTGTAGATTGTCTTATTCCCATCTCGCTCGCGCACGCTATATCACACTCCCAATTTTGTGTCATAGGTGCGCGCGCATCGTAAAATTTCACTCTCATCAATTTTTCATAACGCGCCTAAAGAAGTACAACTTCAAAAATGTTTCAATTCGTCAACGTTCGTTGAAATATTATTGTTTTTGTCCATATTTTTAGATGGTAAAAAGGACTTATTTATTAATAACATAAATAAGTCCTTACTTCATGACTATACCAGTTAAATGACATAAGAATCTAAGTTTAAAAAATAAATGTTTTTTTGACATACGAGGTTATCATTCTACAGTGACAATAATGAAATGTTAATAGTTTTTTATTGACTTGGTTTGATATTGACTCGCGTGACGGTTGCTCGCGGCGCAACTACCTACATAGGCTCCGTGCTGTCTTTCTTTTAAAAAAATACTACTTGTGATCAATGCGACTTTAATAAGTGTTAAAACGTCTAATAATACTACAAAGTAATAGATAAATGTATAGTCAGTGCTCAAGAGAACGAAACACATCAGGATTTTAAAGTGTTTTAACGAGGCTTCAACTGACGTGCCACGCTTTCAACAATCAAACGGATTCATGACACTGTTTCATTATTGTGAGGTTGTGACGTCTAGTGCTAAAAGTGACTAAAGCGTCTTCTGAAAAATCTTAGTGCAAAACGAAATACAAATATTAAACAGACATTAGTCATCCATATGAACTGGTTACAAAATTATCTACTATACCAAGCATTGGTTCAGTTCATCATAATCTCAGATAGCCACTTATATAAGGATATCGACTAAGTGATAAGCGGTCCAAGTTCGAATAATCTGACTTACACTATTTATGGATTTTATTTGCCCCTGCAAAACAAATATTGTAAGACAAATACGTCAAAACGCCCCCATCTAGTAAAATTTATAGAATTAGGAAAATATAAATTTATCAATAATAATTTTAACTTCGTTGAAAAATTCATATTTCTTCGGATAGAGGGCACTGATACACTATGGAAGAAATTCATCAAATGTTACTGAACTTACAGCAAGACATCAAACAACAAAAACAAGATATGTTGGACATGAAAGAGGATTTAAAAAACATAATAATTAACAACATTCACGAGAAATTTGCAAACCTTGAATTGAAAAACGAACAATTAGAAAAAACGATTGAAGAACAAAAAGTCAAATTAAATAACTTAGAAAGGCATTCACGACGAAAGAACCTAGTCATGTTCGGAGTAGAAGAGAGTGAGAATACTTATTTTGAATTAGAGAATATTATAGTAAATATAATAAACATGTTCTTTGAATTTCAATGTGACAAAAATAACATTGAACTTGTCAGAAGGTTGGGAAAGAAAGGTGATAACAAAGACCGGTTGTTATAACGTTTAACAGCATCGGTTACAAGTTACATATTATGAAAAACAAATCCTGTCTAGAAAATACTCAGTACTACATTAAGGAGGATTATCCGATCGAAGTCCTTAACAGGCGGAAGGAACTCCAAGTCCAGTTACAGAAAGAAAAGGAGAAAGGCTATACTGCTTTTATAAGATATGACAAACTTATAGTATTAAAAGGCACATTTGAAAAAGAGAACCCCACCAAGAAGGTACTAGAAACTAGAAAACAACTACAGCCAAAAACAGAGGAAGAATGGAAAATGGGAAAACAAATCTTTTTTGAGAGGAGACCAATTGGTGATTTAAAAAACTGCAGGATAACCAGCGCGAAAAAAGGAAGAGAGATAAAACCGTATCTCCCAACTTGTCTACACAGAAAAAACAGAACACATCTAACAAGTTTGAAAACACATCGACTAAAACTAACAATGCAGGACAAAAAGAAATATTACAACCAAACATACTACAATATATAGGAAGAGATAGATCGTTTTCGACCTCCGACATTTCAAAAAACTAACAAACACACGCGAGCAACCTATCAAAACAAAAACAACAACAACTAAAACCGGAAAAGCAAAACAAATATGGAAGAAACACATTCTAAAACAACCTAATCAAGAAGCCTTCCCACCACGGTTGGTCGCCGCGGGAAGATCAGACCACCACCCTCTAACAAAAAAACATAATATATATATAGCATCCCTCAATATTAGGACTTTAAGAACTCCTGAATCACTAAAAAGAGTCGCAAAAGATAGAAAACAGTGGACAGGGTTAGAGGAGGCCTTTGCCAAGAGGCACACCGAACTCCGAGATATACTGGAGTGAAAATATATTAAAGTTCAGATATATAAAATGACATAGTTTCGGAATTTAAAGGCTATATTATTATTATTATTATAGTTTTTTTAAATACATATTTATGTAGGAATAAAGAAAATAATTAACACAGCAAGGTTGCTAAAACGACTCTGCGAAAGGTCTTAATGGAATTTCTGAAAATGTCCCAGTCATTATCACCAATTTTATTATTATTTTTTATTTAAGAGAGTAAAATACATTAAACAAAAATCAGTACATTAAGTAGGCGAGTCTCGACTTTTTCACATTACCTCCAAACATGTATTTTGTAGGAAATACGCAACTTAAATGGATTTTTAAGATCACCCTAAAAACGCCCACACTTGTATTCGCCCAAAATGTTGGACTGCTCAAAACTGTAATTAGAAGCAACAAAAACCGATGGAAGCAGATAGTCCAGATGTTCCTGACCACAACGCTGAGACATGAGCTACCGACCGAAGAGAGATTGAGACTTGGGCTACCAATATTATAGAATACTACTCTGTTTAGTACATACCAACATGGAACATTTTGCTATGCTACCCCACAGACTGTTTGGTTGAAAATTACGCAATGAAAACTTTTTAGGTATTTCTGTGAATTTTTCTTTATATAAACCTTTACATAAGAGTTCATGTCATAAGTTATTTTTTTTTTTCTGCGGTTATTTGCAATCAGCCCCAAGGCTATGAGCGAATTTTTTCTGTGGTGCTGTCATGTGGAGTGACTTCCCATTGGAAGCATCTCATCTTCTGTCTAGAGCTACTGCCGGTCTTCTAGCTCTAGAATATGGTGACGTTTTAGTCGACTCACATACTGTCTAATGGTGAGTTGGCGAGCAAGTTCATTCGGGTGACAGCTTAACCGCTCTTTGTATTTAGCTGCCAGTCTCCGGATTTCCTCTTTGATAGTTCTCATTTTAAGGTGTTCGTGAACTTCGTTGTTGGTATGTACCATGGTACTTTTGCAACTGCTCTTAGGAAAGTTTTTAATTAATAAATAAAAATAGGGGCTAATCGTAGAGGGGTGAAATTAGTGGTTATATATATTTTTGTATGCTGTATCATAAAAAAATAAAAACACTAAAAAAATCTAAAAAATAAAAAAAATTGGGGTGGACAACAAGGGTTTGGTCGATAGATAGAAGCCGATTCTTAGACTTAAAAATTTCATAAGAATCGGTCTAGCCGTTTCTGAGGACTGTAGGTCACTAGATGTGACACGAGAATTTCATATATAAGATTGTCGCTCGAAGCACCTTTGGCATTTCGATCCCGACTTAGATTAAACAAACTAGTTCGCTTGAGGAAAATATTACGAAAAATAAAAGCTTTACTGCCTCATTAAGATCTAAGCTATCTAAGCTAAGGTTAAAATGATTGTTACGTAAAAAATAAATAATATACGTTTATTATGGAATATAAGATACAGGTATCAATTATTCCATGTCATTAAATCCCTATTCATCGGCAATGAAGACAGAGGGTGTAGGCCGAGAGAAAAAGCCGTCGTAAAAAAACTCTCGGTACTCTTTTAAAATAGCATATCATAAAACAACACTTATTTTAAAACAAATATCGCAAATTAATTAGAAGTAGCCTGTCCAGCACTAGTCCCAGGCCCTTTTATCAACTAGGTAATCGTTAACTTTATAGTAAGCCTTATTACACAGCTTTTCTTTAATAAATTTCTTAAATTAATTAAAAGGCAGAGATAAAAGAGCCTCTGGGATTTTATTAAATAAGAGAATCCCTTTTCCCAAATAAGAATTACTAACTTTAGATAGTCTAGTACGGGGAAATTGCAGCCTGCGTTTGTTCCGAGTATTAACATTGTGCGTATGTTCTATTCTAGTAAACTTATCACTATTTTGATATACA